TTAAGAGAACTGGTTTGTGTGAGAAGCATTTTTTCCTCACTGTAAACTGACAGCATTCTGGCTTATACATTTAATATCTAGAGCTCAGATGCATGGAGTAGTAGTAAATAAGTCAAATCCTGGGCAGACAGTAGAGTGGTGCCTACACAAAGATCTAGGCAGCCAGCTTGATTTCAAGCAATGCCCTTTTATTCTTGATGGATACTTTGGCAAAACTAAGTATCAGGAAGAATTATCCATAATAAGCACTGTGTGATAGTAAGAATATAAACTCTACATAGATACCCCCATGACTAATTTATTTTATAATTGTAATTCTGTACCTCTTTATTCCCTTCACAATAGGTGAATTTCAACACTGATTTTGGACTTACTCTCCCTACTCTAACCCCAGCTTCCTCATCTGTAAAAGAGGGCTATTGAAAGGACTGAATTAACAAATGAGGAGCTGATGAACAATGAAAATTGGATGCCTTATAAACTAGTCAAACAGCTTTTACTGGAAAACAAGGCTGAAACAGAAGCTGGTTTCTCAGTGATGCTGTGGAAGAGTTTCCTGTGTTTTGTATGAAAAGCATGACTCACGTAAAGATGGGAAATACATTCCAATTCCAAGGATCTACATGGCTAAAATGTTTTTTGATTTAGGAATTAAATCACTGGGTAATACAACAAACTATTCTCCTATCCCACACATCTAGAATTTCTGGTATTTAGACATGACTATACCATTTTTTAAAAACAATCCAGTCAAAAAAATATTAAAAATAAAATTTTCAGCTAATCAAATTACAGAATGTATTTTTACCTTATTTAAGAGATTAAATTATATACTTCATTCTTTTCTCTGTACTTATATTCCATTGTATACATACTACAATTTCTTTATCCATTCATCCATCAATGGACACTTGTTTTCTTATCTAGGCTATTGTAAATAATCCTGCAACAGACATGGGTGTGAGTCTGTCTTTCTGAGTTAAGTGTTTTTGTTTCATTCAGATAAATACCCAGAAGTGGAATTACTATATCATATAGTAGTTCTATTTTTAATTTTTTGAGGCACCTCCAAACTGTCATCCACAGGTGACTATACCAGTTTACATTCCCACCAATAGGGAACAAGGGTTCCCTTTCTCCACATCCTAGCCAACAATTGTTATTTCTAGTTTTTTTGATAATAGCCATAGTAACAGGTGCGAAATGGTAGCTCACTGTGGTTTTATTTGCATTTATTTCCCTGATGATTAATGATGTAGGGCATCTTTTCACGTACCTGTTGGACAACTGTCTCCTTCAGAAAAATAACTATTCAGATCTTTTGCCCATTTTTAAATCAGATTGTATTATTTTTGCTATGAGTTGTTTGAGTTCTTTATATATTTTGGATATTAGCCCATTATCAGATATATGATTTGCACTTATTTTTTCCCACTTAGTAGGTTGCCTTTTCATTTTGTTGATCATTTCCTTTGCTGTGCAGAAGCTTTTTAGTTTAGTGTAGTTCCACATGTTTATTTTTGCTTTCACTGCTTTTGCTTTTGCTGTCAGATTCAAAAAATCAACACTAAGACCTGTGTCAAGGAGCTTACTGCCTGTTTCCTTCTGGAGTTTTATGGCTTCAGGTCTTATGTTCAAATCTTTAATCCATTTTGAGTTAATTTTTATGTATGATGTAATAGTGGTCCAGTTTAATTCTTCTGCACGTTTTTTGCCTACAGTTACTGAGTTATTTTTAGTGAGACTTTTTGACTTACAGAAAACAGGTAAGAGCTGGCAATTAGTTAAAGAGCATATAGTTCAAACAAACAAAATAAGGGAGTCTCTGTAATTGCTAAGACCTCCATCCTGGTCATAGTCCCTGTCTGAAAGAACTCAGGGTCTGGGAAAAGAGAAAATGTGAGGCAACAAATACAATGCATTACAGTACAATAGTAGCAGATGTTACACGAAGATAAAATGGAGGGAGTGATCATTGCTGACTACAAGGACAAAGGAGGAAGTGTTAAGCTATAAATCAAGTAACATAAAGACAAAAGTATTTAGCAATTAAAAGGTCAGTGGCAACCTCTACTAACCAGAGTTAGAAGCAGAAGTTACTTTGCATTACATTGCAGTGAGTAAGGGGAGGGAAATATAGAAAATCTGAGACTTACTAGAGAAAGTTATAGTCAAGCAATCAAAACCTGAGCAAATAGGAAAGCATATTCAAAATAATGCACTTAAAGATTAAATCTTCAAATTCACATAAACCAACTGGTGATTTAATGAATCAGTGAAAACAAAGGCTTCCTTCATAGTTTCATCAGACTTGTATCAAGGGTCAGATTACCACAATACTGTAACCACATGCTATCCACCATGAATGCATTTTGGGAAAGATCTCTTTGTCATCATCTACGAGAAAGAGAAAGTAATCCCAAATTTAACATAACTAAATGGCAGTCTTCTTCCAATTTTGCCATTTCAAAGTCATAAACATTAATACTACCTAAGAACACCAGTAGCTCTGCTTCAGGGTAAATGATTAAATATCTTTACTCCAAAACCAAACACCTCTCCTAAACCGGTTTTAAGTTCCAAAAACCTAAACACCTCAGAGCACAGAGAAAACAGTAACCTAAAAAACTAGTTATTAAATTTTTTTAAAATGTCATAAGACTATAAAGGACACAGTTCTTTAATATTAATGGAAGGTAGTTAAGTTGGAATAACAAAAATCTTTTCATTTCTGCATTTCAGATTTCTCCATGATTACAATAAATCATTAAGAACCAAAGTGTATGAAAAGTGTTTAATTCAGAATGGGTACCGTCATATTCATTCCCTCTTCTAAAGTGAGAAGAGCCTCTTTAAAAGATGATTGCTTGTCTCAAAGGAGAAATTTGAAATTTAAGCCTGTTTCCTATTTTGTTGGCAATCTTGAATATAATTTTTAAAAAATTTGGAATTACCATGTATTTTAACTAAAAAAAAAATCCTTGTCAAGTTACCTAATCCAAATTCACTTAAGTAGTTACAAGAGTGAACTTTATTTGAGTAACAAAACAAGTCTGTACAGGAGCAGAGTAAGATGTTCACTCCTATTTAAAAGTACTGCTTGCTGAAAAATTTCTCTAGATGTAACATGTTTATGTGTAACTTTCTGTGGAGCTGAAGAAGAAGAAGGCTTACCTTAAAAGAAAAGCGCAGACGAACTGACTTTTCTAACTTCACTACCCATTTCTCAGACAGGTGCAGTTTGCCTAAAGCCCTCCCTCGATGAAGCAAGCCCCCACTCAGAAAAAGTGCCTCCCACACACGATTTATTTGGTTGCTGTAACACTTGGTTCCTAAGCCACAAACGGATTCCTTCTCAGTGGAGAGGATAAAGCGTCAGAAAGAGTCTCAGGCTGTTTCAGTGACTGATCAATTCAGGTTCTCACTTGGGGATCCTGTTTAAACACAGATCTCTAAAACACTCCGTGATGTGGAATCCCAAGACAAGGTATATCCTAGGATTAAACAGTCGAGGCACTTAAAATTTAAGGGTTGAAACCACCCACACAGCCTGTTGGGATTCTTATCAAAACAATAGCGTGTGGCACACGTCAGGCGGCCCACAGGCGCAGGGGGATAAAGAAGAGACTGGCTGAGGCTGGAGTTGAACTTGTCTTAACCGCCACCCCCAACTCCCACCGCCACCCGGCCACGCGAAAGTGAAAACCAGGGGCGCCCAGGGCCCTGCTCTCTCCTCCTCCTCTTTCCCCCGCCCGGCCCGGACGTCTTCCTCACCCGGTCTCCTGGGGGCGGGGACGCTGAGTTCCCCGGGGCCCCGAGTTAATCACCCAGAAGAGGCGGTGACAGAGCGCAAGGCTCGCGTCGCGCACTCAGAGGCCTAGCCACACCGGGCGGGAGGCCGCTGGCCGGGTCTATCGGGTCCCGGTTCCCGGACCCTGGGCCCCCCGACCCCTCTTCCCCGATCTTAACCCCGTTCGCCCCCTCCCGCCCCTACCCTAGGCAGCTCCGACGTCAGGCTCCACGCTCCACCGAGGAAACGACGCCCAGCCGGCCGTTTCCTGCCCCCGGGGCGGGGATTCCCTCTCCGGGCCGGGGGCCGGTGGCCCTGTGCCGCTGACCCGAGCGGGGATCCCCTCGGCTGCCGGGCGGAGATCCCGGAACTGGCCCCGGAGAGCGCGTGTGGCCGCCGCGGGGAGGAGCGAGGCGGGGAGTTTCCGCCGGCCCCGGCTGGGTGGCAGCCGCGGCTAGGAGCGGTCCCTGTGGCCGGCCGGGGACCCCAGTCTCCTCCACCGTAGCCCGCTCTCCCCACGCGTGCCGCAGCTGGCCGGAGCCACGGAGCCCCGCGCAGTCACCGGCTCGGGCTAGGGGGACAAACGCTGGCCCGCTGCCACCCGTCACTTTCAAGTGGCCCCGCGAGGAGCCTAGGGCCAGGAAAAGGAGACAAAAGGATCTTCCCCGATCTTAACCCCGTTCGCCCCCTCCCGCCCCTACCCTAGGCAGCTCCGACGTCAGGCTCCACGCTCCACCGAGGAAACGACGCCCAGCCGGCCGTTTCCTGCCCCCGGGGCGGGGATTCCCTCTCCGGGCCGGGGGCCGGTGGCCCTGTGCCGCTGACCCGAGCGGGGATCCCCTCGGCTGCCGGGCGGAGATCCCGGAACTGGCCCCGGAGAGCGCGTGTGGCCGCCGCGGGGAGGAGCGAGGCGGGGAGTTTCCGCCGGCCCCGGCTGGGTGGCAGCCGCGGCTAGGAGCGGTCCCTGTGGCCGGCCGGGGACCCCAGTCTCCTCCACCGTAGCCCGCTCTCCCCACGCGTGCCGCAGCTGGCCGGAGCCACGGAGCCCCGCGCAGTCACCGGCTCGGGCTAGGGGGACAAACGCTGGCCCGCTGCCACCCGTCACTTTCAAGTGGCCCCGCGAGGAGCCTAGGGCCAGGAAAAGGAGACAAAAGGACTGGGGAGGGAGTCCCCGCACGCCACAGCACCCCCGCGCTGGCCCGGCCCTTACTCGTAGTGGCGGAAGATCTCGTTGGTGACTTTACAGTAGAAAACTTCCTCGTCCGGCCGCAGGTCCGCGGGCGGCTTCTGTCTCACAAACGGCTTTCGGTGTAGCAGCGGCATCTCCCGTCCGCCCGCGGACTCGCCTGGACCCTCGGTCGCCCGCGCCGGCCCCGCTTCCCTATCAAAATTGGAGGGAAAGGAAAGCCGGTAAGGTGGGGAGCGCTCGGCGGCGGCGTGGGCCGGTCCGTGCGCCGGGGAAGCTCGGCTGCCTTTTGTGTGACTGTCGCGCCTCGGTGCCACCGGAGGCAAGGTCGCGCCTGCCGCTGCTGCGCTGCGCGAGCGGAGCCACCGCCGCCTCTGCCCTCCTCGCGCGCCCAACCTCCGTACGCCCCGCAGCTGGCTCACAATGGGGCCGCACGCCCTGCCGCGGGCGGGCGGTGCGGGAGCGGCGGCCCCCTCCCCCAGCGCCGGCTCCCAGCCCGCCGCCGCCGCCGCCGCCGCCGCCGCGGGGCTCACAACGTGCTTGGCGCGCAGCCTGCCGGCCCGACGCCGCGAGGGAGCTCCCTGCGGGCGGACCCCGGCGCCGCTCCGCTTTGTTTCCCCGCTCGCCTCCGCTTCCCGGCGGACGCCGGCCGACTGCCGAGCGCCCACACGGAGCCCCTCACCTGCGAGCACGCCGACGGCTACTTCTCCACCTTCTCAACTACAAAGACAGCGAGCGGAGGCTCTGTCCTCCCCTTGGGGGGGTCGCTCCTCGCCGGCCCCGCCGCGCCGCCGGCCCCCGCTCCTCCCGCTGCCACGGCCTGGCTCCTCGCGGGGGATCGCGTCCCACCGCCACTTCTCCGCCTCTCGGAGCTCCTGGGAAGTTTCTGATCTACTTTCAGCTCTGAAGGAGGAAGAGCTGTTGGGAGGAGCTTTTCACTTCTCGCTTCTACCTTTTTATTGGCTACTCGATGACTTTTACAGCCTGTCACTGATACAGGAAGAGACGGCAGAGAGCTTGGGAGAGCTACATTATTAATTAATGGAGCAACCCCTTGTGAAGAATCAGAAGCATCCTCCATGTTTGAGGTTATCAGCCAAAAGATCTAGGGAAAGCTCTGGGGTTTCAAAAACACATGGCTAACAAAGTACAGCCTTCCTCTTCGAGTCTGGCACCATCGCATCGTTACACGATGGGCAAAGATTCCAATTAACATTTAACTTACATTTTAAAAATGGGAAGAGAAATGAGGCATAAGAAAAAGTATTTTGATGTTTTCTTTAAATTAGAATTTTCCTGTCTAAAAAATATTGTGCTTGAAAAGAAAATGCCTTTCTTGACAGCAGTTCTCGAGTAATTCAAAGACTCAGCAGAGGAAAGGACCAAAAAAGTACGTGTTCGAAGGTATGTCTGTAGGACCCCCAACATATTTAGAGCTAAAAACTTACATCTTTAAAAACGAATATTTAGGATACGCTGAAAATATTTTACAAAGGATCAATATTTAATCACTCAGAAGTTTAAAGATTATGGATTTACTGGTGAAATTTCCTCTAAAGCAACTTTTCCATTTGTGCATTTCCAATTGTGAAGCTAATTTTAATGTATATAATACATGTGTCTTTTGAATTAAAAGCATTTTTGAAGTTACTTTGTTTTAAATCGTCTTTTTTGCCCTTGACATGTGTTTATTTGCAGATTAACATAGAAGAATGAATCTAAGAGTAAGTTTGAAAAACAGTCAACAAAGATGGTAACTACCAATACTGTGAAATGTTCATAATTATAGAAACAATGTGGCATCATCTTTATATCTTCAAATTAAGTACATGTGTATTTTGGAGCAGAAAATGTAAGGAATCTCAAGAATTGTCACTTTTTAACTTCTTTTCAAGATACTTTTACATTGGTTACTAGCAAAATAAAATTTTGTGAGAGGCACAATATGCCTTGAGTGTCTTAAAAATCATTAATAAAATTAAGGCACTTGTATGAATATATGTCACAGAGGCTTGGAAGTGCTCTCAGTATCAAGTATATTCTTTAGCCTTAAAAAAAAAAATGCACTTGAAGATGTGATATTTTAAACTGGCCTCTAACTGATACACTGACAATTTAGAATTTTCTACATAGAAACTATTAATTTTCCTAGTGAAAACTTTAGAGCTCAAAAAGGTAGACTCAAAAGGGGGGCAAAAAGGTGGATAATTTTCAACTGATACTAACGTATCACTTTCACAATTCAAAATCCCAATTTATCTGTTAAGCCAAAAACAGGTGAAATTTTCTCTGACTATATAGCATTTATATTTCTGAGTGTCACTATTTGATAAACCGTTAAAAAGTTTAGTTAAAATCATAAAAAATAGTAATGTTGATTTTATTAAACACAAACTTTTAAACAATTGGATGTTTTAATACTAACAAAACTGAAATTTTATGGTACTTCATCAAAATACTATCATACAAAATTTCCCTACTACCATAATCAAAATTCAATAGTATCCTAACTCAATTCTCTAAGTTACATACATAGATTTATTTTAATGTGTGATTTTCTATTTGTGTTATACAGTTGTTCACTGTTAACTCACAATAATGTAAGTTTAGTAAATTATAATGAACATACTTAAAAGTTCAGTTTTGATGTGTTCATAATACTTGATCAAATTACTAGCATACCTAACCTAGCTCAAAATAACAAAGTTATCCTACATACACATTTACTACTAAAAGCTGACCTAATAATGTATTGTTTATTTCATATTTTTGGTATCATGGTTACTTCCTTGCTTTATTAATTACTGTTTCTAGGCTTTTGAAAGTGAGAAACTTATTGCTGTATTCAGAAACTAAAGTTTACTGTCATGAAATAGGACTTGGTGTAAAAAAAACTGGAAATATTGTAAGGGAAACTTTGAAAGACTATCACAGAAAAAGACAATGAAATTGAAATAATTTAAAATTTTAACAATTTAATTCAATTAAACACTTATCAGACTCCTCTTATGTGCCAAGACACTGTACTAGCTAATGTATAGGATACGATAAAAATGTGTCCTCGCCTCAAACAATGTACAGTCTTGTAGGGAAGAGATTATGTAAAGCGACCCAATACAAGAATTATGTGAATCCTAATGGTCATGATTAGTATAATGCAAAAAGAGAAGTAGCAAAGTTGAGAAGAAAACATAGAAAGGTAGAAAGGGGACCCAGGATTGGTCCTATGAAGGCATCCAGGTGGCATGATTTGAAGGGCAACATTAGGCACCCCTCTGGGTGAAGACACCAATGGCCCCTGTTTAAATGTAAAATGTAAATATACTAGTTAGGCAGGACATACAGTAATCTAAAATGATCAAGGCATAGCTTAATATTTGAAAAGAAATACTGCCTTAGATAGGTAAACACAAAACAGGACTATTAAATATATATATTTAAATATTTGAGCTAGAACAGAATACTTTTCCTGTCTTCTATTGACTGATTAAAAAAGGCTTTACTTAGAAGGTTTGGAATACAGTAATTCCTTAGAGCTATAAAAAACCTTTGGGAACTCTTCTCTCATTTTGCAGCTGAGGAAACTGAAGCTTAGGAACTAGAATCCAGTCTCTTTAGACCATTCTAATCTCCCTTGGATTTGATAATATCTAATTTTCTTCTATACCCTACTCATATTCTATCTACAAATGAGCTAAAATACCAATTCAACTCCTTCCTAAACTGCTAAAATGTATAAGGGAATAAGATATATTACTCACGATCAGAAATAATAATTTATTTTTGAGAATAATCCAGGAAAACAATGGTGGTAATAAAAATTTTAAATTTTTCTAATTGAACAACCAATGAGTCCTGTCTCCATGCTTCAGTTAACACATTTAATAAATATAAACATTTCATGTCCCTTACCTCTAAGTAGCAGTTATAAAAGTAAAGTATAGCTGCTTTGAGCTCTTCTGAGAAAGATGTCTTATAAAAACATGCAAGGAATGTCTTCAGCTTCATAACTTCTTTCCTCAATATCTCTGACACCTGTCTCAACTTTTCTATGTTCTCTTTTTAACATCTTCCTAATTCATGACATTTTACCTATAAAAGATTTCTATACATTGTTCTTTAGAAGCAATGAATATGTTTCCTCTAATAACTGAAACCACTGGCCTAGAGTGGTTCTAGACCTTAGCTGCCCATTGAAATCACCAGGGAGCTTTTGAAAAACACTGATGCCTGGGCTATACCTTAAACCACTTAAAATAATATCTGGGGTAGGCATCCAGGCATTTGGAGTTTAAAAATCTATTCAGGTGATTCTAATGAACTGCCAATGCCAAGAACTGTTATACTTAGAGAGACTGGATTGTTAATGCTAAAGTGGTAATGTTGGCAAATTTGGAATGCAGTTTTAAATTCAACCCCTCGGGATTAAATCCCTGAATTATGGGGTGGTAGTAGCCGTTGGAAGAATAGTCTATGGCCATCATAATCACAGTACTAGTTTACATTTAATGACTGCTTCCTGTTTGTCAAGTTTTGTGCAAAGGGCTTTAATGAATCATCTCATGAAACTCTTACAACAAACTAAGTACTATTTATCATTTCCATTTTACAGATGAAGCCATTGAAGCCCAGAGAGGTTAATTAATTAGCATACCCAAGGTCATACAGCCCAGAAGCAGAAAAGCCCAAATTATCAACTCCAAAGTCCAGGCTCTTTACTGCTACTCTCTCTTTCCATGAGACTGATTTGCTCATCTACCTCAGATATAAACTGAAACAGGGAACTTGATCCTGTGCACTAACCAATTTAGAACTTGTAATGACTAAGAATATTAGTCATAAAAGTACTAAAGGGAACCATGAAGAATTCAAAAAATTATCTCAGAGTGGGGAAAGCCTAAGTATAGCACAAAGCCCAGAATCCATAAAGATAATTCTCAATAAAAATAAGAAATGTCTGCAATGACAAAAGCTATCATTAACAAAGTTGGAAGACAAACATTAGATTGGGAGAAATTATCTGCAACTCACTGACAAAGGCTAATTTCCCATTTCCCATTATCTAAGTAGTAATAAATCACAATAACCCAAGAGAAACAGAAAAGAAAATACAAATGGCTTTAAAACATATAAAAATAAGAGAAGTGCATAATAAGAGAAATGCCAATTTAAACTATACCAAGATG